ACACACACACACACACACACACACACACACACACACGACACCAGGACCCTGGAGACTCCATCTCTGGTCTGGAGTGTTCCCCACCCCGACTCAATCCCTCTGTCGACAAAATCAGACGAAGGGGTTGTGATTGGCGGATTGGACGGAACGGCGTTCAGGGAGAAGTGAGACCGAGGATCTCGCTACTCTCCCACGCCACCTCCGATGATGACATCACAGCGGCCAGAAACCTTCAAGCTGCGACGGTGATTAAGTGCGATTAGTTCTGTCTGGGGCTGACGGATCCCACAGGATTTCAAACTGGAGGGGAGTTTTTTTGGGGGGTGTTGAAAGTTTGAGAAAGAGATCAAGCATGGGAACGTTTGAAATTTTTGTTTTTGTGTGCAAGTAGAAAAGAGAGATGATAAACAGATCAAACCATGCTGATACCAGTCATCTTTACTTTTGTAATAATATACATGTCGAAACAGATTTTGGCCTAAAGCTTGAAATACATTCTTGGAAGCAGTTTCCAAAAATGTTCTACCGAAGAAGCCAAAAGCAATTTGTGTTTGCAGTCAGGGTTTTGTTTGTGAAGTTCCTCCAACATTTTTCCACCTCTGTGTTAGTGAATGGGACAAAGTACACATCAAATGAAATTTTCTCAAAGATTTCTGTCATTTTAGGTAGTTCTTATTACACCAATGTGCACGTATTGACCTTGATACCACGACATCATCAATACTGCACAGACAGTTCACCGGTGGCGTCATCGGTGCAAGATGGCAGCGCTCGTATGTGGGGAATTTTGGCCTCATTTCTGTGGGAGGATGTGAAGAAGCATCGTCCACCTTTAAGGGTTTACTTTGAATTTATTCAATTTTTGGAATCATAATATATTTAACTAAACTGCCCTATAACCTGAGAGAAGAGCGTGAGATGGTTAAAGTACAACAAGATACTGGATTCAAGTTGGAGGTGGAGCACACGCACAGCAAGTGCTCACTTGTTTTTGTTAATCACATCTCACTTTGCTGTCTCTTTGCACTTTGAGGATTTATCAGGTGTAAAAGTGATATAATCGGTACGACTCCTCTGAGATCAGCTGTGTAGATTTTGAACCCGTGTGTCAACGTGAAAAAACATGAGAAACAAAAGGTTATGTGGTGTGAGTAGCGCGCACACACACAATGCTGAATACAAACTCATATTTCAATTGCCAACGTAAAGCAATGCCGACAGATTTCCTCGCAATCTTCCTGTACCCCTGCGCTCACCGTGTGGAGGAGGCACTGGGTGGCAAACAGAGGGGGGGGGGGCTCAGCTGGCCACATAAAGCAGGGATGACAGAGAGATTGTACTCGACCTCTCTGCTCACCCGAAACATGATGAAGCCCTCTGCTTTCTCAGAGTCACATTGGTAGGATGACTTTAAAAACTCCAAACAACAATCCCTGCACACACACAAACGCACACACGCAAACTTTCATCTTTCCAAAAAGTATTGTGCCTCCTTTGACAGTCACATGGACTGTAAAGTGCTGACTCTGTGGCCTCCCTGCCGATTCCCGCTCTGCCGGTGACGGAGCGTGTCCTGATAAATAAAGCGACAAATGCAATGGAAAGAGAAAACGAGGGGAATTAGAGAGGGAGAGAGAGAGAGAGAGAGAAAGCATGGAGGGCTATAATTAGTAAGTGATTAACGAGCAGGCATCAGACAGGTCCCACATCATTGATTGTGATGTTGTGCAGTGCTGCTGCAGCGAAAACGAGCCGGCCCTGAGAGGGGGCGCCGAGGTCACCGCTCACACACAAACACACACGGCGGCGTGTTTTGTTCTTTGGTGCACAAAAGCAGCCAACGGTCATTCGTGAGAACATGAAGGCAAAGCACATTATGTCAAACTGGTTGTGGTTGCTCGAGACTCGCTTCAAATCACCTAACCTTTCAAATAGAAATCATGTACTTCACATTTCCGCTCACCATTTTCCAAAGTTTGAGTTTTTGATGTATTTTGTCTTCTTTTCTAGGAAGTCTAAGTAGAGCGGTCTAGGTGGAGGCACAGCCTTACCTCTAGAGCTGCAGACTGACCCTCAATACTACTTAAGACGTATCAGTAGAGTTAGGAATCCCACAGTCGTCTTTCAGGTTCGATCAGAACATTGTTGTTTTGAGACAAGTTCTCAAGTCAAGACCTTTAAAATACTAAGAGCCAGAGGGTGGTGCTAGCGATGAGGTACAATTGCTCCATTAATGTTAAGACTAAACAAGCAGAGGTTTAACTGCCATCTTGTTTTATCCAGCCTTCATACTCTCAGGCTACCCCGATGATTCCTCCCTCTCCATCCTCCCTCCCTCAGCAATGTTAGCTCAACCCTCAGAAAGAAGGAGCGAGAAGAGAGATGCAGGAAAGACGAAATGCTGAGGGAGGCAGAAAAAGAGAGAAAGAGAATCCTGCTCCTCCCCTTCTTTCCTCTCCTCTTTTTTCTTTCTCTGGTCAGGTGCCAACATCAATGTACTCTGCTGTATGGCTGGGCGGGCACAGAGAGTGCTGGCCCGTCACGCATGGCATAACGTCGCTCTGTCCTTGCTCCCATTATTTAGCCTGCCAAGCTAATCATAATGATGATGACAATGAGAAGGAGGAGGATGAGAAAGTGAACGGGAACTTGGCTCAGCTTCCCCTGTGGTATGGATTTCTGTAACGGAGGAGTGAGATTGACTTCGCCAGCGAGCATGTGGAGGCTGTGAGTGTGTCAACAGGGAGGGGACGGGGGGGTAGGTGTGAACATGTGCATTAGGGTGCTGCTCAGGCTGCCTTTTTCTGTCGGAAACCATTATAACCCGAGAAAAAACTAACTGAACCTGACCAGAACCTGACAGGCGTTCTGTTCTCTGTGTCCGAACCCGATGCAGGTAATGTGACCTGCACTGATGTCTTGTCTACACTTCACTGGATATATCATTGCCCACCCTTTTTAAAAAAATCTCTGTCCACATTAGCTCAGTTTTACAAAATATCTCCAATTGAAAACGCAGCAACGACCACAAACGCTCAACAAGCATGTTGGACAATAGGTAAGAGCACTGTGGTCCAAGTTATCGCAGACGCCTGTGAATGTCGTTTATGTGGTGCAGTGATTTTTAATTCCTAATAAGACCAAGCAGTGCAAACCAAACGTAGAGAAACTGGTACATAATGAAACATGGAACATCATTGTTGTTTCTGGCTCATGCTAATTGAAGAGGGCAACGGTGGGAATGTTGTGATGTCACAGTTTCCCAAACGCTACTTTTACATGAACACACGGATATGCAGAAATCAGTAAAAACCTCAGTTTTAGTCATTTAAACTGCTGTTTGCCTGTTGATGAGCCTAAACACAGAATCGAAATCTCTTCTCAACGTGCTCTAGTCTGATATCCGCACTCTGCAAAAGGTTTTAGCTGTTAGCGACCATCAGCGTGTGCATGTGTTCTCCTCACGCCTACCTTGTCATTGTTGTAGTAGGCCAGACTCTCGCCATTGAACCGCATCCACCTCCTTTGAAAAACACAATTTCTGCAGAGAAAAGTTGAGAAAAAAATCAGTTTGATCAACTCAACGGCCTGTCAAGCAAAACAAAGACTAGAAAATGTCCACAGCTGTCAAGACAGAGAAACTCATATTTCATCAAGAGTGTCTGATTCATTAATTCATTACATTATGAGTTGTATCAACAGATGCCAATCAGCACAGTCAAAACAAATGGCTACTTTTGGTTTGAATATCAAACAGCATGGGGGCAGTTTGCCAAAACTATGCAAATCAGGTGGTGAAAAAGAAAATATAAAGAGGAAGTCTGTGAGAGCAAGAGACCATGGGTAGAAAATAAACGAAAGTCGATACAATGTGCATCTGAATGCTGCAAGGTTATCTCCCATCTTTTATTCCTTCCCTTTCAATAGGGCCATGCATTATGTAAAGATCTCCCCCAGGCGTCTGTATCTAATGCTATTTAAGAGTTTTAAATAATCATCAAACACAGAGGACACACGAAGGGAAACGAGGATGCAGAATGAAAAGGATCTAAAGAAACAGGAAGTGGTTGTAGATCGTAGCGCTCCTCCTTCACTGTACTGGCGTGAGGTATATTTTGGGTTGTTTAGGTTGTACTCAAAAGAGAAAGAGAACTTGCATTGATCTTAATAGGAAATTAATATTTATGACCTGTGCAGAGTGGAGCTGCAGTAAAAGCATCAGTAGTGAGGATTTCATGCAGGCCCATGTATCATTACATCAGATGAAGAGGGCATTTCTAACGTCTGATAATCCGAGCTCATTAAATTCATCATCCTCAGCAGAACTGTAACTTACCCTTGAGGCGACAGTTTGTCCAGCCAACCCACTTTGAGCATCTTGAGTTTGGGGGCTCCATAAAAACAGGCATAAGGGGAGATGTCAGGCAACGCGTTGCTGCTTACGCCCCCCAGAGCGTCTGCAGGCTGCGAGTAGAGGTCACAGTCCACCATGATCAAGGATCCGTCCTTAGGGCCAGTGGCAGCCGGACCAGGAGCAAGACCATCAGGGTTCACAGCGAAACTTTTGTCTAAAATGGCTCGCGGCAAAAAGCCGGCACACTCGTCCACTGTTGAATACTCGTCTTTGAAGGGGTCTGGGTCTGTCAGTGCCGATGAAGACTCGCTTTCCTTTGACTCTTTCTGCTTGGATGTCTTTTTTCTGTGTGAACACACGACACATAATGTGTTGAGTGACAAGTTAAGAATTTATGAGTTTAAAGAGTGAAATGCTACTGGGATGAAGAACATGTTTCTCTGGAGTTTCAACTCCTTTACCAGCATCAGTGCGAAGTGTGGTTTGGCTCTGTTGCACCTGTGATCACCAGTGATGTCCCAGTGCACCAAACTCAGGTAGTATATAAAAATTGACGACAGGCACACTCCCCAAAACTGAAGCCAAAATGTATCGATGACCATTTATATTGAACAAATTTATGAAAAGGAGAGTGAAATTACAGGTTAAATAAATGTCTTAGGTTTCTGTCATTTAAGGAAATTCTTATCAGACTGATGTAGGTCCAAAAATGACCACGTGTTCATCATGAGGAGCTTTCAAGCATTTGCTGTGTCAAGTTAAAGGTACAGTGTGTAGAATTTTAGTGTTGAAGTTGCATGTTGCAGCTGAACACCCCTCACCTCACCCTCTCCTCCCAAACATGAAAGAGGACCTGTGGCAGCCTTCAGTTTTTCATAAAAACTCAAAAGGTGTTTAGTTTGTCCAGTCTGGACAAATGTAAAAAACATGGCGGCCTCCGTAAAGAGGGTCCCCTCGATGTAAATATAAAGTATTTGAATAAAAACTGACTTTTCTGGGGTAAAGAAAACTACAATTCATACAATTTAGATGAAACAAACTAGTGAAAACATCATGAGGATTATTCTACATTAAATTTCTGC